CAAACAATCAAAATTTCGCACGCAAAAAAAGTTAAATGATTATCTAATATGGCAGTACAAAAGCAATATTAAAACATCATTGAAAAAGTTCCGGGCTGGACACAGTACAGATAGCCCTTTGTGTAGCTTTGTGGTTGACTATAAACAAACAAAACTTATATCAAACTTGGTGATTAAGAACTCACGCACTCAATGAAAATATTCAAGCTCTATTTAGGTAGTCCTCCGGTGGCTCTGCGGTTAGCTTCAGGGCCTATAACTCTAAAATTAGGTGTTCGATCCACGCAGCGAATAAAGCGCCCATGTGGTGACAATATCTGTATTATGACTCTTTGAAAACTAATTTTATTAGTTGATGTGAGCTGGTGGTATTTTCATTTTGCAACTTGCAGCACGAGTCGAAGGTAATCCAAGTGCTAAATATGGCTCAAAAGCTGAATAGTTTTGAACTCTCTTTCAAGATGAAAGAGCATACATAAATGTGTGAGTTTAGCTAAAAACTACACCTAAACACATACAACCGTACTGGTTTCAGCATGTATCCATTTGATGTTTGTACAGTTATAGCTAAACAATGAATAAATTCAACACAAAATCGTTTGTAAAATTATAGCTAAACAAAGAATAAATTCAACAAATAATCTTTTGGAAAATTATAGCTATACAAAGAATAAATTCAACAAACTATCCGTTGTACAGTAATGGATAAACAATGAATAAATTCAATACACACTACGTTGTACAGTGATAGCTAAACAATGAATAAATTCAATACACACTACATTGCACAGTGATAGCTAATCAATGAACAAATTCAACACAAGCCTTTGCACATTATTAGCCAATCAATGAATAAATTCAACATACAATTCTTTATACAATTATAGCTAACAGTGAACCTATTCAACAGTACCACATAATTTGTGTATCTTTCATGATATTCTACAAGTAAAGAATAGTTACGAACACGAAAATTAAACTTAAAAGTTTGAAAATTATTTTATGTATGTTCGGATTTTACGTCTTCATAAAGTTGCATTAAAATTTTCATAAACATCTGTATTTTAGTTCCCCATTTGAAAGAAAATGAAAACGTGTACATTTTAACAGAAATACCACTTTTCATTTTGTGTATATTTAGAGTTTAACCCCAGAACGACAGTTAGGCCACAATGGTGATTAATAAAATGTCTTCGCTCACGCTACCATCAAATATAAAAGTTCACAAGAATCAGAAAATAAGATTGGCAATACGTATTCTTGGAATTCTTGTACTCAAGATCAAACAATGCCCAACAAAAATTATACACATTACAAATGCTGTCTTGAACATTATAAATATAAGTATAACGAAGAATGGTTAAATCAATTGTTGGATATAGATATAAAATTTAGGATTTTTTCGATATCAACTTCATGTTATGGTAATTGTCAAATTGTGAATTGGCTATTAATATAATACTTGATGTCACAAGATCCATAACAAGTCTTCTGGTGACTATTCTGACATCATATGGTGGCGGCCTCTTGCGATAATGTATGAATTTAATCTGATGCTTATGATAACACTTTCTTTAAAATATGTACTACTACCACTTATGAGATGGTGCTAACGTCACACTGTAGCTCTCTATCGTAGCAATATATATATAAAACGGTTCATTTTCTCTGTCGCCATACAACGCGTGATTCTAACAATCAGTCTGAGCTTCCCAGTGGCACGGTATGTTTGCGGACTTACAACGCTAGAAACTGGGTTTAGATACCCGTGGTGGGCAGAGCACAGATAGCCCATTGTGTAGCTTTGTGCTTAAATACAAACAAACCACTACACAATAAACAGGGCAACTACTCATCATATAGCTTTAGAAAGTAACCAGTAAAAAGTATAACAAAGTGAGTAGAATATAAAACCTATGTACTTATTTCCTGAACATATCGAAACCCGGATTCTAGAGTTGTAAGTCCGCAGACATACCGCTGTGCTACTGGGGGGATTCAAAAATGTTTGTTTGCGGTTAAGCACAAAGCTACACAATGGGCTATTTGTACTCTGTCCATCACGGGTATCGAAACCCGAATTCTAGAGCTGTAAGTCCGCAGACATACCGCTGTGCTACTGAGGGGCTTTTAGATAAGAATGAAGTGTTAGAAAATCAGGAAGTCAGTAGATGGGGTGATCTTTTTTGAATATGTACACTAGTAGTCACATGACCATGACTTTTGTATTTATATGTTGCACAGAATTTGTTTTTACACTCTTCATGATGAAGTGAACGACGTCGAAACTCGTCGAGTGTCTTTTTACCACTGTTGATCGGTTTTTAAATTAAATTTTAATTGTATATTATTCAGTTCTTAAATATTTATACACGTTTCCTTGCATTTTATCCATCATGAAGAGTACTTACAACCGGGTTTGATTTTACTACACTCGTCGAAATTTTTTTGCCTCATTCAGTGTTAAGAAGCTCCTGACTTTTTTACCAGAATTTTTTATGTCTATTTACAACATTGTTTTAGTACAAATCTACACGATAAGCTATCTGCGTTATGTTCACCGCGGGGATCAAGCCTCGAATTTTAGTTATAAAACTTGATGCTTACCACTTAGCCACCGAGGGAAGTCCTGTCGATAATATTACTATACTATATAACGCTTGTTTCATATTCTAACGGCCCGACATGGCTGAGGGGCCGTTATAATGTGACGGTCAATCCCATTATTCGTTTGTAAAAGACCAGCCCAAGGGTTGGCGATGAGTGGTGATGACTAGCTGCCTAGACTAGTCTTTCACAGCTAAATTAGGCGGTTAGCGCAGATAGTTCTCGTGTAGCTTTGCGCGAAGTTCAAAAGAAACCAAATAATATTCCAACTGAGAAGCTTTGAAGGATAAACAGAAGACAAACAGATATGCTGACACTTCTTACTAAGCCCGGGATATAATGAAGCACTATGCACTTTTTAGCGGACTGACCTGAACAACTCTTCTATGCAATATCGGAGAAATAAATAAGTTAGGACACACACGTGTAAAAGACAACTTTGTATTGTTCTTGTGCGACGTTTATACAGAATGCAGTATACACCGTATTACAGAGAAGTTACAGTAGGAAAGAGTAGTTGAGGGAAACACGTTTACAAAAAATATTGTAAAAAAGGGATATTGTTGGAAGTTTTTTAAATATATTTCAATTCGAAAAAACAAAAATGTAATAAATTTTTCGAAACGAGTTAAAACTTATTAAATGTTTATTGAAACCACACAATACGGATTTTAGAATTAATAATTACGAACAAATAAATGCATATACACCATGCGTGCATTTAATTCAAAGTATAAGTGTATAAAAATGTATATATGGCCCGCGACGTATTTCTTTCGAGGGGAAAGCTTTATGCACAAAATTGTTAAAGGAGAAATTGAGCATAAAAATAATTGTTGGTCAATCTTGTCTAGAAAAAAGACTTGGTTGAAAACACACGAAAAAAATTAAAAGTACATTTTTTTTTTTTAATTCCGTGAAAGAACTGTTTCTGATTGATGAGTCGGTATTCAGAGCTTTCTCTGAGGCGACTTTTTTGATGATAGTAACTTGAATGTCGGAAATGGCATTATGGTCAGAAGAATAAAGGTGCATAAAAACGGGTAGGTCAGCTGAGTCCTCCCGTTCTGATGAAAAGTGTTCACGAAATCGATCACCGAGCCTACAGACTATTTCTCGGATATAAAGTTTATTACATTTGCTGCACTGGATGCACTGCTGCACGTGGAAATAGGGCCAGCTATTGTAGTATTGTTCGTAAGGTACAGACATGTATAACACTGGTAAGTACCGTCAGCAAGGAAAATGTTTTATTGCAGCTAGTAACTGACGAAGGGGTAGTATGTTAATATCAAGTGATATCTTTTAGTATTATA